GGAGGGGGCGCGCGGAGGGCGGGCGGCCGCGCGGGCGCCGCGGGGCGAAGGCCACGGCCGCGGGTAAAGGCGCGTTTAATCGTTAACTGCGGGACGGCGCCGAGGGCGCTGCGGAGCCGCGGCCCGCGCAGCCCCGCCGAGCCCGGGGTCGGGTTTCCCTTTGCGTTTTGATTAGGGACATCCATATAGAACCTGGGTGATACCGGTAGGTTTGGATAGATTTTCCCTTGTTAACGTATATATGCTTATATAAATGTCATATTTGTATCTTTAAAAAAAATCACATATCTGTAGTACTGAGGGGAAAAAAAAAAAACACCTTCAAATCTTCCTTCATGTTTAAACAGAAGGAAGTTTGGAAGCCAAATTGGAACCTAACTTAAAACCAAACTCGATCCAGATTGTTTGAGTGTGAGCGATAACCAGGGTCTCGTGAGCTGAGCTGGGAAATGTGTCTTTCCAGTAGAATTCCTAATCTGGCGATGCTGGACATTGCAAAGAGGAAGAAATTTCTTGTTTTATAGCAGGAGTTCTTTCTCCTTGTTGAGCTTTTTTTTTTTTTTTTTCTTAATGCTCACAAAGGAACATTATGAATAAAGTTTTCAAGCGTTCTAATAGTAGAGCACTATGAACACACGTCCTGCAATTTCTTCTCACATAGTAATGTGAGCTTTTAATTTATACTCTCTCTCTCCATCTTTCTCAGATTGAATTACTGTTCACCTGCTGTGTTTCCAATGGAATTTCTTGCATGTTTTAACTTATGGTGGAAGCCGCCTCAGTCTGTCTTGAAAAGATTCCTTTGTTCGTTAGAATCAGGTCAGTGGACTTCGGCAAATGTAGTAATTTTGAATTTGCTAAGTTAAGAAATACGATCTTGTACAGAATCCACTGAGCTTGCATGTTCCTGTTGTGCAGTTTCTCTTACTGGAACTGTAGTTTTGTGGTTTAATTTAGAAACTACATGCAGAGCATGTTTTCAGAGCAATCTGTTGGAATATTATGGGAGGTCTTGGTTTAAATAAACAGCAGATAAAAATGGCTTTTAAACATAAAGACAGTGTTTTCCTAGAAACGTGTAGAGAACAAAGAAGCACAGGAAAGAAAGAGAAGATCTTTGCGTGCTTGCCATTAGATCTCAAGTGATGTTTATATCCTTTCCCTTGTTTTGTCTGCGGCTCCTCAAGCTTGAATTTGAAGAGCTGATCCGAAGGACGGGGGGTTGGCAAACCTGGGCTGGCGTCTGTCCAGCCAGTGCTGTGCATTGTGCTTGCTTAACCGCAGGCGTCGCGGCGTGGCCCGGCGCACTTGCGATCTCCGTCCCGACGATCCCTGGATCAAACAGAAACTGGGCTCTGTTTGGCCTGGCTTGCTGGGTTTTTTTGTTTTTCTTTTTTTTTCCCCGGTAGTTTTGTCTTTGAGTTTGAAGTAGCTCAAGTGACGTTTCTACAATTTTGAGCTTGTTCTACACTTGGACAGACTGAAGTTGTGGTTGAACTACCGCTTTTGTAGGGACGGTGTGTGCGGGATGCGACAGACATTAATTATCAAATGCGCCTCCTAGTCTCAGGATGCTACTTGAGGCTTGTGTGAGTCCTACAGCGACTCTTATAGACTTAGTTACATTAAACAGTATTCCAAAAGCAAGGGCCTGAGAAGGCTTTTCAGAATAAGATTGCTGTTTGATTATTTTTATTGGTGTGCTTTGATCCAGTTTTGATCTTTTAAGTTGGTTAAATCCTCTTGGTGCATCAGGGCCAAACAGTATATGGGAAAAGAACTAGAAGAGGATTCTGGTGCAGAATAAGGAATGACCTTCTAGTAGGGTATTTCAGTGCCTGTCATGTTACATTATTTTGATCTTTCTTCTGTCTCAGCTGTCTTTACTCCGTTGCATTATTGAGACCCCTATAGATTTTTGTATCATCCTTTTTCATACACTTGATTTTTTTCACATTTATTTTAAGCTAAGGGTTTTCAAGTAGGTGTTTATGAAGATACAGATTCTAGCTATTTTGTGAGATTTTAGGTTTTGAGTATTAAATATATGGAATTTAATTCGTTGAAAAGGAGATCCTTGTTTCCTCATTGGTTTTAGAATATTTACTTCCTCTACATGTTTTTGAATATCATCTATGGCAAGATAAAATAGCCAGACCCCTTCTATGCCCATTCCAGAAAATGGCACTAGTGTTTTCTTTTTCTTTTCTTTTTTTTTAATGTATTGATTTTCTCAGTTTAAGGGATGTTTTCCTGGTGCTGGTTTTCATTCCCCGTAAATGCAAATAGGTCTGAAGTTGGTAGGTTTTCAGGCATGAAAATACTGAGCAAGACAGGCTGATAGAACCAAAAGCTCTGGTAGTAAGGATGTGTGAAAACTCTGAGTGTCTTTAGCGTGTATTTTGTGGGCTGGCAGCATTTCCATCTGCCTGGAACTAACATGAATTTTAATTTTAAATGTACAGTGAACTGTTTTGCTGATGAGTGTAAATGAAGTCATCCTGTGAAATTCTACGAGTCAGCAGTGCTGAAAGCAATGTATGTTAAAGCACAGTATCTGTGACTATTAAGCTGCCCTCTGGGACACCGTGCAAAATGATGTAACTCAGTGAAAATACTCTGCAAAATAAATTTCCCCTTCTTGCTCGCTGCAGTTTGGTGTCACTGAGGCCATTCCTTCTCGAGGCTTCACTGCGATGCTCTGCCGACCTGTCGTGGCGTTGGATTGTGTGACAAAGGCTGTGGAGGGGAAGAGCTAGAGCTACAGAGATTGTGTTTCGTGGCTCTGCGCCTCGCGCTTCGGCGGCGCTGCAGAGGGGACGCTAAGGAAGCCTGTGCTGCTGCTCGCGACGTAAGTTCACAAAGGAAACAGCTCTACCCCGGCCTGGGTTAAAAGATTTGTACTGGTACAAATGTGTGCTTCTGGAAATACAGCTGCCCTGTGATGTGTCTCAGAGTTTTAGGTGCGCAGGAGTAACTAGGAAATAGATTGGGGAGGCTATTTTTTACTGAAGGAAAATAAATTGTGTTCTTTGATATATACAGTGATATTAATGAGAGCTGAAAGCATATCAGCAGCATATTCAAATATTACATTTTTTTTCTGCATTACTATTTCAGAATGCACTTAGACGTATGGTTTGCACTGAATTTTTGGAAGAGCTGATTAGAGGAGCTGATTTTTTTGTTTGTTTCTTCATAGAAAATGGCATTTATGGAAAATGGGATGGCTTTGTTTTGGCCGTGTGTCTAGACTGGCGATCAGTAACTTTGAAATACGTGTCACGTGATCAGACAGGTCATACTCCACACTTTAAAGTAGCTTAGTTTCTAAAAAAAGATCCCTCTTGGCTATGCTAAACCGCAGCCATCATTAACAGGATTCGACTGCTACTTTTATTTATGGGGACATTGTAATACTAATAAAGTATTTTTCATTTTCTCCCTGCTAGGATTCCAATAGGAAAATTTTCTGGAGTGTGTGTGTGGGCAGCTCCTGAGGATGGCAAGCAAAGGACCTGCAACTTCTACATCGACGGAGAACTCCAGTACTGGAGGTACCAGTGGCAGCAGCAGCAACGGTGCTGGGGACAGTACTAATCAGGACAGCACTTTCGAATGTAACATCTGCTTAGACACTGCCAAGGATGCAGTTATCAGCCTGTGTGGACATCTCTTCTGGTAAGTACTCCTGTCTGCACAGACAAACCGAAAGATCTGCTATAGATTGTGTGCCTCTGATCACCCCAAAGCCTATGATTTTTACAATTTAAATATCAAATAAAAATCTTTTTTATTGCAAGAACTGAAGCTCTTGGCTGTGATATGGGTGTGGTTTTTTGCTCCAGAACTGTTTTTCTCTGTTATATATACACACAGCCCAAAGAACATTGTTCTTGCTTTTTTTTTTTTTTTTACTTTCTGATTTTGTAGGAACAAACAAGCAAGCAAATAGCCCTGGACAGTTCGGTGCTCTAATGCTTGCCTAAGCAAGTTATCTTATTAGTGCTTTCTGGTCTAGCATAGGTATCTTGTTCAGACCTAAGTTCTAAATCTGAAATTAGGTTCTGAAGGCCAAACTGTATTTTTCATATTTACTATAACCTTTTTTTTTTGGTTTTGTTTTTAAAACATAAAAACTTTTGTAGAGCATGCTTTTACTTGTGGGCTATTTCTCTTTTCCCATAGTATTGCAGTTGTAATACTAGCTGTTCGGTTCCTTAATCGGACTTAAGAATGTCGCACAAATGCAGTCAGCGTGAAGCATTTCTTATTTGGGAACACTGGTCTAGAATATCCTTGCCGATGTTCAGAAAGCTATGATTGTTGACATTGTTTTGCTTTACACAGTTGGTTAATTTATCCTTTTTAATAAAAGGAACAGTTCTCTTTTATGATAATGTATATAACATCTGAAGGTCCAGGTTTTTGTTTAGGAGGATGAGGAATCACTTGCTGATGATACCTGAAAACTGTTGCAATGGTTAACGTCTCAAAAGGATTTTGAAGAATAGACCTTTAAGGAATAGCCTGTATCTTGTTTAATAGTGTTGTAATCACCACGCTGAAAGCAGATGGCTGCTTAGCAGTTTTGCTTTGCAGCTTGCTTGTTTACCTGGGGTCATTTTTGAGTTGCCACATTAGTTTTGAGAGCACTATTGTATAATGGGAATTTCTGTCCCCTAGGCAAGCTGTGTCTGACCATATACCTGACCCTGCTTAAAGCAGGGAGGGCAGCGACTAGACACCTCCTTAGGTCTCTTCCAACCTGAATTAATCCAAGATTTTATGAATGTGGCCAATCTTTTTGCTATATATCTACCACATGACTTCTGTTAAGACTCTGAAGTCTCATTACTGCCATTTTTCTAATTTGCATCTTAGCTCAGGGATATCTCTTCATGGAATCAGAAGAGAAAATCTGTGCTGTAAACACTCTAAGATGAATTAAGCCTGTCTTTGGGCCATTGGTAGGGATGAGGACACAGCAGGCAAAGGTGATGTGGAGAGAATCCCATTAGCAACTTACTTAGATTGCATAACCTGAAAAGACCAGTGGAGATCAACCTTGGGCTGTGACTTCAAAAATTATTTTAATGGGAGGTTACAGAACTGGCCTGACCGGATTCCAGGATTCTGGTGTCTCTAAGCTAGGCTATCCCTGGTACACTTCATAAATTTTGTCAAATCAAATTCTCAGTAACTAATCCTATTTTCCCCTCTTTTTCTACTTTGTGAACAAATTGTCCTGGGAATGCTCACAGCTGGCCTTGTTTACATCAGGTAAGACAGGTTACCTTTTACTTTGTCTTTCATCAGCTTCTGTTACACAATAAAGCCGTTCGCTCTCTAGAGTATTCTGTTAAAAGCTGCAACATCCCCCTTTTTTCAATGTACGTCTTTCTCTCTAGGGCAACCACAATGTGCAAAATGCAACTTCATGTGCAACAACTTGCAATTTATTCTTTCAGTGAAACTTAGATATCATTCCATCTCCCTGCCAATTTTCAGTGTTTTAACCACTGGCTCTTCTCTTTTTTAATAGCAGACAGAGCTTTAGTTTGTAGGCTAAATTTTGATTGTACTTTTTCCATATGTGGGGTTGTATATCGTAGTAGCATCACAGAAAAGGAAGATGAAAGGAAACTGCTCTAGCCTTTGGCCTGTGTCAGGGAGTTGTTGCTGTGTATTTTCTCATATATTTCCAGTGCAGTTCTAAATGTGTATACATCAACAGATGGATCACAGCAGAACAGTAGCCAAAATGCCAACATTTTGGAAAGCGCTTGGCATTTAGTGAGATGTTTTGCTCCTTGGCTGAGAAATTGCTTGAAGTCTCTATTTGGCTGCAAAGAGGTTTGTAAGTTAGTGTTCTTGTGGTCCTTTATTTGATTTGTTTTTGTTTTCTTTCTTTCAGTGGCTTGAGACCAGGCCAAACAGGCAAGTGTGTCCTGTTTGCAAAGCAGGAATCAGTCGAGATAAAGTTATTCCTCTGTATGGAAGAGGCAGCACTGGGCAACAGGACCCCAGGTAAGGAACCCACATAAAACCATGTTTGTGTGAAAGCTACCAACTTTCAAGGTGAAACTTCTAAGCTGTTATATCCACGATGTGAAATATCACATTGTCAGAAATTGGATAGAACTGACATTTCTGCAAAATATTTCTGGGTTTGCACACAGTATTTCTTGTTCATCTAGCAATTTATTTAATTCTAATTGGTTGTAAATTTATCAGCTACAAGTGGTAAGTTGTGATTAGTGTTATCTGATTGTAGCAGCTGTATAAAGTATTCAGATTTTGTTATTGGTCCTCAGTTTCTGGCATTTGGCATGAGACTTTGTTTTGCAAAATTGTAAAATCCTAATTCAGAGATGTGATCCTAAGTGAGGGTTCATAGCATTAGTGGCTGTACTCCCTCGCACTGCCTCCAGCTCCACTGCTGCAGGGTCCTGCGAGAGATTACTCCGTGTTTATTCTGTCTTTTAAGCCAGGCTATGACAGATACTGTTATCATGTGATTGTCCTTGCACTTGAGCTAACTTGAGAATTTCCTGCAGAGAGAAAACTCCACCCCGACCCCAAGGGCAGAGGCCTGAACCAGAGAACAGAGGGGTAAGTGAGGGGAGAAAAAAAAAAAAAAAAAGGAGCAGATAAGTTGCTCTTATTGGTGGTGGTGTTTGTGAGTCTTGAAGGGCACAGTGCGTGTAGAAGCTCACGTGATCTTCCTGTATTTTTTCCTGCTCATTGCTAGCAGGTTGTTCATGAATAAGTGATAGCTGCTGTGTGGCAGGAAAGCTCCATTCCTGTGGTACTCTTTAGCATCCCAAAGAATGAGTTAACGTGAGTTGTGCCTCAGGAAAACAGCCCTGTGTGGCAGCACGGGAAACATCATTTTCTATACTTCATCATTCTCCATAGAGAAATACAAGAAACACTCGATTTGCAAATTCCCTGTGGAAATACATTTTTGTCAAATGGTGATATGGAAATGTGTAATCTATGTATGAATATACATACCTATTTTAGCAGTGATTGCCACTTGTAGTATCTCTTTATGCGATATTACTGTCCATGGCATTGCCTGAAAAGAATGTAGATTTATCAGTTGGATCCATGTTGAATGGGATTTGTGTTTTTGTTGAGATTATAAACGGTAAATCCAAACAACAGCTCGCACATGATGAACAGACATGTGGAAGAGCCACTAGGTCAGACCTCCCGCTGTATTTTGTAGCACAGTGACAGTGAGCATGACCTGATGAAACAATTGTGTATTTCCATGTAATTCAGGCCAGGATCCTCAGAGAGCATCCGTGTGCCTCACACTTTGCACAAACAACCCTGCTGGGTGTGATTAAGGAACATTTTTGCATTGAATAGATCGGGAGTTCAGTTCTCTCTCTCCAGGGAGTTGCCACCTTATTAAATCAGCTGCTGCACCTCAGTTGAACCTTTTAGCAGCTGCTGCTGTAAGCCAGATGAATAGGGTATGGAGACCTCACAGTAGTGATGGGGTCCTTCCTGTTTCCAACAAATGCAGGGCCTGCCATGCACAGCGCTTTGCTCTCCCTCATAGGGAGTTAATGTTAAAGCAGTTGAGTCATAATCAGGACTAACTCTTCAAATCAATGATCAACACAGAAACATCTGGCTTAAATTATGCCACTTAAATGGCACTTAAATTATGCCACTGAAACAGGCCAGGGTGTTTTTCAGAATTGGCATCAATTGTCTTCTGAAACAAGAAGACAGTTTGCTGTATTAGGGGACACAGTTTGCTGTAGAGAGACACTGAGCCCTCCAGAGTTAAAGAAGACACGACTGCTTTGGATTTATATACAATTGATTCTTCATCAGTACACTGCTTTTATATGTTGCAATACAAATTCATCCTGATGCAGATAACTTACCTTTTGGCTTGATATGAAGTTTTGTTCTGGACTACCTACAGTCAGTGCTGTGGCAGTGCAACCCTGCCTTTCTTTTATCTTGTCTTGCATCCCTGCCTCAGATGATTTTATATGCCAAATCATTTACAGCCTCCCTGACATACATATATATATATATGATTTTTTGATTGTTTTTTCTTATAATGCTCCATGCATTCTTCTGTCAATTTATCTCTTTACTGAATGTTTAAGTGATACATTAAAATCAATATAGGTTATTTTTCACAATACATTTGTTTTGGATATATATGGCTAATAGCTATTTAATACAGCACTGCAGTATGTAAATGTCACAAATAGTATTTAGCCATGTTGACTTTGATAGGTTATCATACACTGTGTTGAAATACAGCTCCTGGTTTGCTTCTCAGACTTTTGGATTGCTCTGGGAAAGTTGCTACTGGGTGATGCATTTCATAATCAGGAGAACCAAGCAGATAGGTAGCAAGAGTGTGGCAAACTGAAAGCTGTCGGACAGCATGCCACTCCTGCAGCCTTAGGAAAGCCAGCAAGCGGGAATGTTTGTCTGCAGTTTTGCAAAATATTTTGAAATATTTTTTAATTACTTGTAACCTTTTTAAAAAATTATTACTATTTTTAATCTTCTATTGTTTTGTTCTCTGCAGGGATTCCAGGGCTTTGGGTTTGGTGACGGTGGCTTCCAAATGTCATTCGGAATTGGGGCCTTTCCCTTTGGTATATTCGCCACAGCATTCAACATAAATGATGGGCGACCTCCTCCAGGTAATGTGCATCCTGTCTTGTAGGAGAGTCTTATCATAAATGTTTTACAGAAGTACTTGTAACATTTAAACAAACAGCCTGCTAAATGACAAACTTTCTGAATGGTGAAGTAACTCTCTGTGTTATATAGAGACATAGGATTAGGGAAAACACTCTGTAGAAAGCACATTCTGTATTAGAGCTTCTGTAAGAGAACTTACATAGGAAGAAAGTTTGTCAGTTCCCTGTATTTTCCCCCGTGTGTCCCCCTGTAAGGGGACAGTAGAACTGGAGAGAGTGACATTGTCTTCTCCCTTCTCTTCACTTTAGATTTCTCCTCAGGTCATAGATTTTTTTCTCCAAGAAACTCCTCTCAGAAAAAGAATAGACATACATGATTTGTGTTCAACTAGAAGTAATGTTCTGGTGATTTTTCTTTTTTTTTTTTTTTAATAAACAGTCCAGTTACTTCAAACACTGGCCTTATTCTCTAAAAATTGTTTGGTAAGCCCCAGAAACACTCATCCCTATCAGCACTGTAGAAAAAAATGAGTCTGCCCATTTTGAAAAGCAAACTTACTGCCCAACATGTCCTAGACTTCCTGTGTGAAAAATTCCACATGGTAAATCTACTTCACTGTATAATGTGTGCTGAGGGTATGTTGTGTTTTAGCCTAGGAATTATGAGGGAAAAAACAAAAGCTCATTGCTTCTTCATGTCCTGTTTGTGTTGCACAGGACCTGTGTTATCCTTGGGTCAAACTTGTCTTACAGCTATTCTCTGCTTTGCACTGAAACCTGTGTGATGGGCCTCAGCTGAGGAGTATGTAAATGTGTGCTGCTGTAACAGCCACCGCTTAACCAACACTTTTATCTACTTCTCATCTGTGAATTCCATACAGCAGTTTGAGAAAGGCCCATCCAGAGCTTTAAGCTTGTGTGCTTTTCATCACTCCTCTTGGTCAAGGCTGCACGCACAGCTTTGACTCTTACTATCATTTGTGTATTTTTCAACTTATGTGCTATATGCTGAATATACAATACTCTGCAGAAGTAGAAAGAGCTGAACTGGTTTTTTTTAACTTCCTGTTTTCCAGCTGTTCCAGGGACTCCTCAGTATGTGGATGAGCAGTTCCTATCCCGCCTCTTCCTGTTTGTGGCTCTGGTGATAATGTTCTGGCTGTTGATTGCATAAATCTCTTCCATTATTCCGTATATTCCTGGCCAGCAAGGCCTCTGAAACAGTTACAAACTGCATCCCCTTCCCATTTTAAACCTCTTGGTGTCTGGTTCCATAGTTAATCACAGGTTCCAGAAATTGGTGGTACCACAGCACAATGAGGAATCTCGCGTTTTGCACCCGAGTTGGAAATTAAACGTTGGTTTGAAAGCGTATTTCAGCTCAGCTATCTTGTACGACGGGTTCCTGCCACAAACCATGGGCCTAGTTTTGAGCTCCACTTCTCAAAGGAGTGCTGCTGTGCAGTCATGTGCCAATCAGTTACAACAGGTTCCTGTGAAAGACAGTTGCCCCAAGGTAGACTGGGCAGGTAAGCAAAGTTCTGCAGTGTGATCAGTATCTCGTGTTGGCAGCCACAATGGATCAGCTGGATTTGTGGATGTTGGTTAATGTCCTCGCATCAACATCCAGCTTTCTTCAGGAAGCCACCTGCAGCACCGCGGAGATTCCTCGGGCGTGACTTGTGATGCAAATGGAACTAACTTTGGAGACTCGTTTCTTTTCTTGCTGTTATTTGATGGATTGATGGAAAAATCCCTGCTGAAGTGGTTCCAGTGGCTGTTGTAAGAAAGGATACAAATTTATGCTGCATTTTCTAAAAGCCTGAATTTGTTGGAGCCAGACACTGGAAGATGCTCTCCTCGTGGAGCTGATGGGGCTGCTGAACAGTACGACACACCTGTCCGCCTCAGCCAGCTCGGCTCCCCACTGACAAAACAGTGTTGTCTTCCTTGGTTCTACACGGCAGTCTGTGCCTGCGCTCATGGATAATCCCCTCACAACCTTGTTGCTGTAGCTACGTTTCTTTTCCTCAAGGCTGTGAGACACTAAGCAAGATCATGTACTCTAAATAAAATCCTATTAACAGAGATATGAGATCAGCTTTTTGGGGGAGAGCATCAAGGGACACCTTAAAGAGAGTTTTTGGATTGGACTTGTAACACTGTAAAATTCTATAGGAGGGGAAATGAAATCCTGCCTTTGCTAGCCACAGTAGGGAGCACTTGGAAGAGTTTCTCTCTACAGGGGTGTACAGCTGCTCCGTGCCACCACAGAATGGCTACAGTGCAAGAGTCGTTGCAATATCTACCAAAGAGATTCATTGGAAATACTGGAGTAAACTACAGCCATTTTTGTGCTGAGGGGAAAGCAAATTGTTTCAGAAGTGAGAGCACAAGACGGTCACGTTTTTGGAATCCTGTTGGGTACATAGCTTTAAAAAGTACTCCTGATGTATTTGTGTATATTCCTTCAGAGCAGCAGGAAAGAGGGATTCCCTAGCAGGATGAACAGTTTTGATTTCTCTTCTGACTCGGTAATTCCAAAAGTTTTTCTTTTATCCTTTACTATTTCTAGATTGTCTTGATTCAGATCACTGACAGTGATTTCCTTTGAGATGAGTATTGTGACTTCGTTGCAGTGATGCTGCGAGCTGACCCAGGCAATCAGCGCGCGGCAGCTCCGTTCCAGGTTAGGCTTTCTCTGGTGCGTGTGGGTGCTGCTCGCGGGCAGGCACCTCGGCTAAGCGCTTACAACCGCTCACGATCACAAACGGCGCACGGCTGTGAGGGTGGCTGAGGGGCAGCGAGCTGCCTCCAACGCTCCCCGGGCAGGGGGAGCCCCTGCAGCCCTTCCGCAGTGTTTGGCCACATCGAGCCGCGCTAACGCGTGTCCTGCTGGTGGCGACACCCCGGCCGAGGACGTCGCTCGGCCCCGGGCAGCCGAAGCGATGCCCCCCCGCTGTGCTGGGGGGCTACCCTGAAGGCCCCGGCCGCGCTCTGATGAGCGGGCAGCACCCCCTGCTGCCGCGAGGGGACGGGCCGGCGCTCAAGCAGGTATTAACCGAGATTTAACTGACGCTCACGTTGTGAAACACAGGATTTTAACGGTTCGGGGCGGGGGAGGAGGGTGGTTACCACCTCTTGGCGCAGCAGGTTAAACTGGCGCCCCTGGGAGCCCTTCTCCGGGCCCGGCGCAGCCGCGGCGCGTGACCCACTTTGTCGTTACCGTTTTCTCGGTGTGGTTTTGTATTATACCCCCCTCCCGC